TACTCAATCTGTGTGTGTTCACATGCACCCGTAATTCTAGTACTCGGGGAGGCTGACGCAGGAACATTACGATCTAGAGCCTCACTTGGGCAACTTAGCAATGTAGTGAGACTCTGTCTCAACATAAATGATAAAACAGAGCTGGAAGGAGTCTTCACTGTGAAGGCTGAGGGATCCATCTTCATTAACAAATAAACAAGTGAAAAAATCCCATTAATACAGTTCTTTTCATTTTCATCAGCCTGCTCAGTATCTCTGAAAAACTTCATTTACCTCACAACTTGGTCAAGATGGAATACACATTTAGAAACACAGACTTCAGGTAATGAGACTTAATCAACTTTGACAAAGGTCTTTGTGACTTTCTCATCACTGAGACAAATACTGGATACCCACGACTAACATGAGGGAAGTTTTTTGACTCATATTTGATTGATGGAGACAGGGTCTTACCATGTAGTACAGGCTGGCCTTCAACTCTCTTATGCAGCCCAGATTGGCCTTGAACTTGTGGCAATTCTCCTGCTTCAGCTTCCTGAGTGCTGAGATGACAGGCAGGTGCCACCACTCCTGGCCAGCACATGGTTTTAACTCTCAGTCTGCTGGTGAGAGGCAGGAAGGCCTGGCAGGAGTCCTGGGTAGAGGAAGCTGCTCAGGTCCTGACCGCCAGGAGGGAGAGGGAGGGGAGAGCACAGGCAGGAGATCTGCCTTCCAGGTCACCCCAGTGACCCACCTCTTCTGACTGGGCCCCCACTTAACACTTAGCTAGGTGAAGCATCCCATAATTCAGGCACCTTCTCCAAACCCCACTTTGAGTTTTGAGGCTTTGGAGGGTGTCCGGATGTGAACCACACCACTTTGAGAAGCAACCACTTGTTTTCCAGGCTGAACAGACAGAGGTGCCTCCCTTCCGCTGTCACCAGAAGTGAGGTATGCAAGGTAGCTCCAAAGGAAGCCCAGCTAGCTGTGCTGAGGGGTCAGCTGAGGGTAGAACACAGCCGGCCTTGATTCAGTGACCACATCTCGAAGGTGGTCGCTGTGCAGACCAGGGTCTGCAGGCCCGGAAGTGTTCAGATGCAGGCAGGAACAGCTCAGCCATGACGTGGCCTTGTATGGAGCGATGGGTGCTGGAGGTTGGGATTGTGAGGAGCTGGGAATGGGTCCCACCAAAGAACATGGAGGAAGAATTGGTTCTAACATGCTCCGCCCTTTGCCCACTCTCACCCCCAAACTGCTGACCTGGTCCCAAGTGGCAGAAAAGGACTGAGATGCTGGTGGCGGCTGTACTACTAGTTGTGAATGTTGCTGACACTTTCCATAAAGAAGACTCAGTGATGATGGGGACATATAACACGATGACACAGGGGCCTTGCGAGAGGCTGCTGTTAGAACTCTGCCGGGGAGCTGCAAGTCCTCCTTCTTATTTCAGAAAACGACGGGACCAGAGAGTGACTGTATCTGAGTAAAAGAAAGAGAACGAGGAGAAAGTAGAGAAAAAGGATGCAGACAGAGAGAAAGGGAAGGCGGAGAGGAAGGAAGGAATGAAGGAAGGGAGGAAAGGAGGCAGCAGGAAAGAGGAGAGTGAGAGAGACAAAAAAGAAAATTTTATTATTCCCTGGAATGAGATTCAGTTATATTTGAAACACATATCACAATGTCCTTCTCTGTTACAGTGTCCTCAGGCTGTTTGTCCAGTATTTGATCACACACGCACATGCGCACACGCACATGCATATGCACACACACAATTTTTTGCAGCAATTCAATGCCATCAACTAAAAATTATTGCATAAGGGGAAGCTAATTTGGGAGGAGCAATTTTCTCAGCGCTGATTGCAGGAACAGCCATACAATTATCCCAACGGAGCACTGAGCGGGCGCTGGAAGGACCGTGCTTCAAGATTCACCCCCGGCTCCCACATCACGACTTCATTTTGTGCATTCAGTCACCGTGGGTGTGAGCTGGCTGCAGCCTCCTGCCCGAGGATGACCACCGATTAGGGGAGGCCCAGGGCTTGGAGACTAAAGCTCTCCTCCTTGGCCCCTCTTTGCGGGGCCCTTTCTGCAGCAGGTGCCTGGACAGTGGAGACCCGGCCCAGTGCCTCACTTTTTCAGCCCTCGTGGCCCTGTTTCTGATGGGAAACACTGGCAAACACACTTTGTGAAGCCGTCCTAGAGGACAGTAGAGGGTCATAGCTGACATTGCTGGGAGGGTACTTGAATACTTTGGCTTACATTTTAGAAAAATAAGGAGACCTTACCAGCAAAGTAACAGCCAAACTCCAGTTATCAGAACTTGAAGGCCAACCTGAGAAGCTCCTAGCTATGAAACCTTGGGTGGGATACTTCCTCTCCCTAAGCATCAGCTTCTGTCTGTCTGTCTGTCTGTCTGTCTGTCTGTCTCTCTCTCTCTCTCTCTCTCTCTCTCTCTCTCTCTCTCTTTCTCTCTCTCAAGCATCCTGGGGAAATGAACAGAGCTTTCTTGCAGGGTCAACGCAAGGATTCTTGACTGCAATGCGGCAGACGCAGCTTCTTTGCAGAGAGCTTGGGCATTATTCCTGCCGGTGTCTTTAGACTCTTCTGGCAACAATCCCACAAACCTGGCACTCTCCCCATCCCCTGGAAGAGTCGCGATGTCTGGTCCCGCATCACTCTCCTGATAAGGCTGGGTGGCGGCTCAGACCCAGACCACTTCCAAAGCCCACCCTCCACCCAGGCAGCTTAATGAGGGTTTCGGCTTCACGCTTCTCTCCCCTTGATTAGGTGTTAAATATTTACCATCTTGCCTTTCTTCCTCTCTCCCCTCTTTAAAAACGGTTTAATTAAAATCATTCGTTGAGCTCATGATAAAAATATGTAAATGTGATGATTTTTGTGAAATGAATCTATTGTTTCCCTTTCAGTCCCAAAGGACTGTGGATAAGAGGGATAGAGAGCTGGAGCTTCCCATGAATTTGAACAAGCATTTGATAATACGTCGTGGAACCCATTTCAAGGTCTGGTGGCCACAGGGTCCAGCAATTAATGTATGTGAGGCACAACTGGGTTCATAGGCGAAGAGGGTAGGAGCAGGGGCTTGGGGTGCCTTGGTGTGAGGGGGCAGAACCATGGGGACACTCAGTTTACCAACTCACCCAACACAAGGCAGCCTCAGAAGGCCACAGCTGAGGGCTCTGGGATCCCTTAATGCTGTCTAGCAGATACACTGGCATCACTCTTTGTCACTGCCGCGCTCCTCTGGCCCATCGAAGGGGCTCTAGTCTTTGTATGTAGCATGCTGGATGCAGGGCATCAGACACTGGGGTCCCTGAGTGCTTCTTAAGATTTCGAGAAATCTCTGCCTGCTCATGCCTGTTAAGAATTTCCAGCCAAACTGGGTAAGGGCAGGCATGGCCTCTTGTCACCTTTGACACTGTTTGTTCCATACCAGGCATAATAAAATGCACCTCTGAGGTCCCCTACACAGTCCAGTCTGGATGGATAGGGAACCTGTTTGTAACAACAGAGCAGGGTATTCCATAGCGAGGGTTAGTCATGACAACCCCCTTTGCAATGGCTTCCTACAGTGAATTCCGTTCCTCATTCATGCAGGAGGTGTGGCTGCCGTCAGTGAGTAGGGGACCTCTGCTTGGTGGAGGACCTTTGCCATCTCTCCGTGCCATCTCTGCAGTTCTCTCAGGGAACAAGGACCCATGGCACTGGCGAGAAGGGTCACTTACTGTCATGGCTCAGCCCGAGAGCCAGAGGCAGAGAGGCAGGAAGCAAGAACTTGTGTGTGTGTGTGTGTGTGTGTGTGTGTGTGTGTGTGTGTGTGCGTGTGTGTAGTTCTGTTGTTATTGATGTTTTTTAAGGGTTATAATATGGCTGGCTTACAGTTTGAGGTCTTTGAGGACACAGGCTATGTCACCACCCACCAGTGCTATGCAACTGGTTTAGTTCTTGGTTTGGGTAACATGAAAACACTTTGTGAAAAACGAAAGAACACCGGATGTGTGCATCACAGGAGAGGCCCATGCAGAGCCATAACAGAACGGACAGTAAGTCTCAGAAAAACCACTAACAAAGCCACTGTACCGCCACAGCGCAGCTCCGGCCTGCGCCGCCTTCTAGCTTGGGGTGCCTGGAAAACAGGGCAGCGGGGAGGGGAGCACGGCCTTGGTGCTGCAGACTCCTGCTCAAACTTGTCAGCGTTTCTTCTTTAAAGTTCTGAATCTCTCTCTGGTGCACGCCTGCCTTGTGTGGGGATCCGGTTGCCTGGGGGAGGTTGGTGCCCTGCAGCGCACAGCTGCCTTCTTTCCTGCCCTCCGGCTCTATCCTCCTCTGTCTCTTGGTCCTTTCCCTTTTGCGAAGGTCCCATTCCCTATTTCCTGTGATCTGTCTTTCCTTTTGCTCTTTAATGTATTTACACTCTCGGTTTCTCATAGGTCATTGCACAGCCCTGTGGTCAGGACCAAAGCGCGGGGCTGGAGAGGTGGCCCTTTGGGCGCCAGTCTTCCCATGGCCTTGCCCTAGACCTCTGTTCCTACAACTGCATCAGCATTTTATTCCCCCCTTACCCACTGCCTTCATCCCTTCCTGTTGTTCTAACAAAATGTCTTAGAGCGGGTGAATCACAAATGACAGGCATCAATAGGCTTTAAGCACAGCATTGGGTCTTCTGTAATGTGGGTGGGCCTCCCTAATCACTTGAAGCCCTTTAAAGAAAAGAGATTGGTCTTTCGAAACGAGAGGGAATTCTATCTTCAAACTACCTTAAATTAAAACTGTACCATGAATTCTTCCCCAGGTCTTGCCAGCCCTCAGAATTATACCAGCCAGGTCTTTAAAATCTCTCTGTCTCTGTCTCTCTCTGTCTCTGTCTCTGTCTTTCTCTCTCTCTTTCTCTCTTCCTGTCTGTCTTCCAAACAGTGACTCCAAATACTTCCTTCCTCCTAAACGAGAAGATTCAGATAAAATGTTTCATTCAACTTGAAAATACAAACTTTAGCAAGGCAGATGAATTCGTTGAGTGTCTATATTTATTTCATTAATGTATTTACACACATTTATTTAAAATACCTGATAAACACAGTACTTTAATATGTGAATAAAATACATTTTTAAGTAAATTAAACATAGACTACTTAAAATTTAGCACTTCATTGATTTGCATTTTGGGAGGGGGTTTGATTTGTTTTGAATTTTGCAAAATCAGGAATTTTTTAACAGTCATCACATCAATAGTACTTACTTTAGCAGTTCAGCTCTAGAATTATCCCCTTGAGAATTCTCAAGGAACACAAATGTTTTCAGAAGCTAGTTCCTTAAGAATTCTTTTCTACTCCCCTTAATTTTGAGAAATGCAACCTTTGGGATAATGAAAGCAATCATTTAAAAAAATTGGAGAATTTCTGATTTCCAATTGTACCACTAAGGGGATTGTCAAGAAGAAATTGTCAGATGTTGCAATAATTGTAATTGAAATACACGTCAGGCTTCAGGAGATTCGTTGTTATTTTTAGAGATTACTGTCCACACGCTTTATTGTCTTGCAAAAAAGCAAGAGAATCCCATTAGAACAGTCAAGCTGGATCAGAATACAAACAGATCTCTAAAACATGTACTTAAACTCATTTGTTCCTCTGTACCATGTAATGGAGAGATTTTTCAACAGGTACCTAAAACCTAGCTGGGGACAAGCGCTTCTTTTCTGAGAGGTGCTTTGGTGGAAAATTCTTTGCTCAGCAATGGAAAGACGGTCTAGAGGAATTTTGCACCCGGAGTTTTGCAGAGGGAGAGCAGAAGAGCTGGCCCGGGACTGATTCTGACCATCTTTCCTCTGTCTATGTCATAAGAGTCTCAAACTCCTGAGTCCAACGGGGTGGGCAGGCGGGTGCAAGGTGGTCATGGTCCTTCACTGTGACCTCCGTCTCGAGTCTCACAGTGCTGTGGAGACAGTGGGGGACACATACATCATTTTTAAGTTGTTCAGTAGCACTTTAAAACATTAAGAGGAAACAGCTGAAAGACATTGCCACAATGCATCGATTCGAGACTATGCAATCAATATGGGATCGCGTTGATGGAATATTTCATATTCATTTCTTCCCTGGTTAGTGTAAAAGATTGGGTGCGACTTTCCTGACCACTCATCTCAGTCTGAATGCAGCACATGTCAGAGCTCAGTGGGCATCTGCATTGAGGTCAGGCTCACTGGACGCTGGGGACCTACAGATGAATGTTTCTTCATGTTCAGAAAACAGAACTGCAGTGCTTGCTGGGTAATGCGGTGCCTGTGTTTACGGATGAGCTGGGGGCGTAGACACTCACTCTGCTGTCTCTGTCACCCTCCCCGCTGTGCTCTGCTGCGGACTTGGTCCCCTGACATCTCCTTGCTGACCTGGCAGGCAGCTGCACAGGCTGGCACCCCATGCCCATCATCCAGCTCATTCTTTTCCTGCTGTAGGTGAGGTGGAGGTCCGTGAGATAAGGGGGGGGGGATCAGATTTTTGGAATTCATTGTGTTGCTACCCCTCAAAGCTCTGAAGTTTTAAAACTGCATGACCAAATTAAAGATTTTTACATATTCTGTGTTAAGGGGAAAGTACCACTCTGCTAGCTACTGACTATTGAAAGCCATGATGGGCAGTAGGGTTGACAAAAGCTGTCACCTGCTGGAAACCTACCCCCACTTCACTTTTCCAAGGCACATTAATTAAAATAGTTCTCATTTTATTTAATCTTTATAACAACACGGGGTAGTAAATACCCATTTTATAGGTAGCGAAATGGGCCCAGAGCAAAGCACTGTGTGCAGGAGCACAGAGTTACTGAGGGAGAAATGCAAACAGAAGCCGTCACGGTTCCAGCATCTGACTCCCTCCCGAGGTCATCGTTTTGCACTGGTTTAGTCCTTCCAAGCCACACTGCTGACTTCCTATCTATCCTGAAATACCCAGCTGGCCTAGAAGCGACAACGATCTTATTTTAACTTTATCTCTCTCCTTACCACATTCTCTATGGCTTTGCTTGCCAAAAAAAAAAAAAAAAAAGTATCTTTGATTTTTTTACTTCCTCCACCACGATGTGGAATAATAAGTGCCCCTCACAGGGGACCTCATGCAGTTTGTGAAATCCATGTGTGCGCTACAGCATTAGCTAACACCAGGCAAACTAGACAGTGCTTAATTGTTTATTACCAAGTGGGGTAACTTTAATAAGATAAGAGCGTTTTGCATGCTCTGGACAAATGATCAGCTTTATATAACCATCGAAAGCCAAGTTTTCAAGGAGTGTTTAATGTTTAGACATTGAATATAATGTTAAGTAAATTTAAAAAAGCGCTATGTGGGAAAAATAATATACACTAAATGATACTAATTTGGCAACTCACAGAAGCACACATACTTAGGAGAGAAAGAATTGTGATCATCTTAGGGTCATAAATGACAAGCACTTTTTTTACAAAGTACATTTCTTTAGGTTCCAAAATTTCTCTAATGATCAAATATTAATTTCTCTCCCTTAATAAGAAAAAACTTCTGTTTTTAAGTGCTGTCTCTAGTTCCCAAGAAAAGTTCACTTTTAATGAAGACCATTTGATTCATCAAATAAAGTTTTCTCCCTCCTACACTTAATGAACTATTTTAAGTCTCCTCTTTCCTGAGACACCTACTGTTCCTATTAATTCTAATACACTATCAGCGCTCATTAGAACACCCCTGAGGGACTGGAGGAGCAAGTGCCTTCCCCGACAGGCAGAAAGTGAGGTCACCAGGAAAGTGAGGAAAATCGGCGACTATCTAGTTCCCCTGTGGCCAGAGTGGTTTTTCCCTTGGTGAGGAAGGTGCAGGTGAGGGCTGTGTTCTAACAGTCCTCAGGAAGCTGGCCTTTTATGTAATAGCGACTTCCTGCATTCCACAGGGAAGGATGCAAATGCCTAGCACAGCTGATGGGCTCCCTGAAAAGGAGTGAACCCCAAGTGTGTTTCCGTGGGGCAGAGTCGGGAAAGGGATGCTGGAAATGTGGCTTTGATTCTTCTCTGCTTTTCCTCACACAATTTGAGCTCCTTGTTGAAAATCCTTGAGACATAACAGCCCTGTCTGTGGAAGGATGCTGACATTTCTGTTCTTCAAGTTACACGGGGGTAGTGGAGCCTTTGCCCAGTCTTTGTGCTAGGGACCATACAAAATTCCAAATCTTTGTTTCTCTGATGCCAGTGTGGCTCCCTGTCCCTCCAACGCTACCTGAAAGCACATCTTCAGGTTCTCTGGACTAAACCTAACATGACTTTGCTGGAGTTTGAACAATGTGCAGAGTCCCCGCCCACCGGCAAGATTGGTGTGGAATCCAAGAGGGCTGGAGGGTGAGATGAGACAGTCAGAGGCGGAGGTGACTGCCAGCTCGGGCTCTGGGATTCCTGAAGGTTCCATTGCTCCTCCTGGATATGTGTGTGCTGTTGTTTGAAGGAATCACTGAGCTGAGAAGTATGTCCCCAGACGTGGGCTCACTCTTATGTCTATGGAAATCGTCTCAGGAGGGGGCATGGGTGGCAGTACACTGGTGCAGTCTGTCTGTACCAAGTATAGCAGGATCTGTGTCGGGTTACCAACTCCCCAACTTTTCTGTGTCCCTCTTTGTCACGATGAGGATAAACCAAGAGTGGATTCATTACACAAAATTGTTAGTGGACACCCTCTCTCTCACTAGCACAGTAAAAGCATTTTGTCTGTGCAATCTTTGGGGGCAGAATACTTGAAAAAGTACTCATACGTGTCTTAGGATTTATGATCACATTTAGGAGCACTTGTGATGATAAAAATATGAAATTACAGAATCTGTCAAGCCAAAATCTTGGGCCTGGCCCTTGGCTGTGTCCTGTTTTTTTTTTTTTTTTTAATAGAAGGCATGAGACAGAGGAAATGCCAGGTTCAAGTTGGGATTTGTACTTTCTCTTCAACTTTTTTCTTTTTTTCTGTGGCTGATGCCTCCAGGAAGGTTTTCAAGACAACTGAGAAATTCTTTTCGCGTCTTGAGAAAGTTTTTTTTTTTTTCTTCCTCTCTTCTTTTGGAGGGAGGAGGGATTTTAGAGGCCAACATGAAATCCAACCCACAAAAAAGGACTTTTATGAAAGCTATCCATCAAATGTCATGGATAATAATCAATTTTCTGTCACAATGAACTGATAAAAGCTTTCAGCAATAATGTCATGGGGGGAAAAATTTGTGTTGGAACTTGAAATGTAGAGCCCTGATATCAAACGAATTCATAAAAACTCACTGGTGCCGTAGCCCCCCGAGGCATGACAAAATACAATTTCTCATCCACGGGATATGGAATAATTCCCCATTTTTTTTTTTTTTTATTTTACCACCAAGAAAAGCAAAAGGAAATCTGAATTTCAAAAAAAAAAAAAAATCTTACATAATCCCGCTCTTGCAGGTGAACATTAGGATCATTTTGGCCGCTGATATCAGAAAGCATTCTGGTGATTTCGCTCACATCATGTAAATGGCTGCATAATTCCTGCTCTTCTCGGAATGTACAATCAAATCAGCATTCTAATGCTACAAGCCTGTGATGAGCTTGGGAATAAATATGCAGGAGCGCATAAAAAAAATCAAGGCAATCAAGAGGAGCCAGCGTCCCCGTTCGGACTATAAATCTTTGTCTATTTCAATCGCAGGGCTGGCCGAATCAGTGTAAAATTCCGGCGGGGATGTCATCAATTTCTGTTAACCTCTCTATTCCTCTCTGTGTTCCTCTGGGGTGATGGATTGGTTCTGTCACTTCTGCTCCGTTCACAGTATGTTAACACGGAAGGGTGCAGCGGGTTAGGAGGAAAGGTGATTGCTGTTGAAGCCCTGACCCTTATACATGCTCTCCTGGGGGACTCTGGGCACCTTCCTGTCTGGGGAGCAGGGTGTGTCCTTCTGCCTCTAGGAAGCTTAGCTCCAGCACTGTGTGTTTGGCCAGTCCAGTTGGTGGAATCTCAGGTCACTCTTTGGAAGTAGAAACAGGTCTGTGGACTTTGGACAGTGCATTAAGATTAAGGAAGAAAAGAAATGTGCGGGGAACTTGAGCTCCAGTAGGACTCAGAATCAGAGTAGGTCAGAGTGGAGGGGTAGTTTTTGTTTACTGCTTTCCAACCCTGAGAAGCTTCTCCCGGCCATAGTTCTGGATGGAGCTCTCCACAACTGTCCTAAGGTCGGCATGTCCCCTCAAGGTGCTCTTTGACGCTCCACTGCCAAGATCTGCATCTTGTACCTGAGCACTGAGCAGCGAGCTGGGCAGTGAACTCCACACTCCCCTAGCACACACAGGTACATCTGGGTACATCTCTAGGCATCAAAAACACACCCCGAGTTGGTCTTAAGACTCCCACGTTTGACACCTCACTACGTACAATACCCACACTGCAGAAATAGCCTTAGTGTCCATCCCTGGGTGTGTGGGTAAAGAAAACGTGGCAGGGTTCACATGCAGTGAAATACTACTCCGCTTTGGGGACAGATGAAACCTGCCACACACTCGCCTTAGGGACGTCATACTAAGTGACATAAAGCAATCGCAAAAGCGGAGTTACAGTGTGATTCCATTTCCGTGACATTTCCAAAATGATCAAATTAATGGATTAGGTGAGTGGGAGGTGTGGTGGCTGCCAGGGCTTGGAGAAGGGAAAACACGAAGTTAGTGATTCACAAGCATAAATTTCAGCCAGGCCAGATGAAGGGTGCTGATGACAACATTGCCTCTAGAACGAACAATGCCATCCTGTACCCTTGATGCTTTGTGAAGAGTGAGAGCCATGTTCCATGGTCTTATCATAACAAGATTAAATTTAACAGTGAAAACAAAATATAAAACATGTCATAGAACAATCACTCAGGTAATAGCAGGAAGGGTCACTTTTGTTGTTGCTGTTAAGTTCATAGTATGCTATCTAGTGGCAACTAGTCAGATGTGGCTATTTCAATTTTACATTGGCTGAAATTAAGCAAAAATTTAAAAGATAAGCTCTTTAGTTCCAGCAGTCAGGTGATTCCCAGTCATCTGTGGCTCACGGCTGTGGCACTGGGCGGCACAGACACTGAACATTTCCTTCGTTGTTAAAAGTCATACAGGACAGAGATACTGTCACCTGCGTTTATCTAAATGGGTTTATGCATTTCAATGTGGTCTCCACAGGAAGCTGGGCCCTTCAAGAAGGGTCCAACACAGAGGCCTAGCTCAACAGCTGTGAAATGGTAAGGTCCATGCTCATGAAACAGTGGCTTGCTTGGAAATTGACCCTATGGGAATCCCGGAGAAATTTCAGGCTTGGTTTGAGCAATGTTCAGATTACTGAGTAAATGCTATAGAAAGAACCCTTGGGCATCTGCTGCTGACTGATTGGGATTCCAGATACAAACTTGATACTTCAGAGGCTGAGACTTGGAGATTTCACTTAACCTCCCATTTTTCTCATGGTAGTGTAAGAAATAATCATAGGGTAAGGTTTTTTTTTTTCCCTGAAGTTTAAATGAGACAACTTTGTACAGAAGTCTAGGTCACGTGGAGCAGAGCCAGAGCTTACCATGTATTTGTTCATGTGACCTTAAAATTCTACAGACGCTAACAACATCATCCAAAGGATGATAAGATAGCATACAATGAAGAGCCTAAGAGAAATGATGGTTTTTAATACATGAATATGTATTAAACGATCTCTGTAGCTGAGTCTGTATTACCAAAGCACGTTCAGGTACTTCTGGATACAGTATTCATCCAAAGAAGTTGAAAACAGGATCTTGAAGCAGTCTTAGTATTCCCCACAAAAGGCAGTGCTTGGTATCTTCTTGCAGGGTGAGCCATGGCAGGACACCTGTGTCCTAGTTTACATCTCACCCATCTCACGTGGAAGGATCCCAGGACCTCCAGGGCAAGGTAGGCTCTCATATTATGGCCAGTTGGAGAGACATGGGAATATGGGCAGGCTCCAGGTTCAGGATGGGCAGGGGCCAGGGTAGTAGGAAGAAGTCATTCTCAAAGCCCAGGATACCATGTGGGCACCTGGGTCAATCTTCATATCCCCGTTCCCTGATATTCCTCCCTTCCAGCGAACGGATGTGTGTGCAGGGGGTGTGCTTCGGAGTCAGTCCTCCCTACAGTACAAGTACTGAGGACTTTGGTTCTACCCTCAGGACTCTGGATTCCAAGGCGCCTCAGCAGCTCACTAGCCACTTGTGACCCCAGCCCCTAAAGAGCCAGGACATGTCTCTGGATGGTGGTGTATGGTTAAGTGGGCACATCCTGCCGAGGTGTGAAGTCTAATAACTGTCTATATTTCACACAATCAGAATCTCTCCATCTCTATCCACCTACTTCAATGGTTGTATCTGAAGTCTAGAGCTCTTTGTGCGGTCATGAGGGCAGGTCACATTGCCTCTGTGAAATCAATAAAATGGGTGCTGTAGTCTCAGTACCTTCTTTGACTCAAGCAGGTAGGAGCAAGTGGAATCATGCATGCTGAAGGGCTTTGTGTATGACCGTGCATTGTGGAAGCATCCATCACTGCAAAAATGTTAATGGTGGCACTGATTGGGCCCTAGCAGATAGCATGTTGAGCCCGATAATGAGAAAATAGTGAGGCCAAAATGCCATTTTGACCTATGTGTAACTGCTTTTAGAAATTTAGAATGTGTTTCAATCTCGGGGTGGTAGGGGTGGGAGGGAATGAGAAGAGAGACCAGGTTACAGGACAAAGGCAAGGAGACATCCAAGGAATAGCCACCAAGTTTTAACTCCATGAGCACAGGTGCTGAGCTGAGATGCTGGCCATCTTGGAAAACACCTTTAGAAGGTTGGGTATATGCTATGATTTTGTGATAGACGACCAACAGAAGTAGGGAAAAGCATGAAGCAGGACAGATAATTGCTCCAGGTTCTGACCCCCACCAGAACTGTGATGGACTTTCCTGGAGAGATCCTTGCAAACCCCAGTGTCTGGGCCCCACTGCACATTAGTGGAAGCAGAACCTCTTGGCATGAGCTTCACAGAGGAATACGTAGAGTTCCCGAGTGAGCCTGCTTTTCAGTGAGGATCAAGAATCGCTGAGATCAAACCAAACTTCAGTTTTATACAAGGAAGAATGAGGCTCCAACCCAAAAATGACCGGGCCAAGGATCCAGGGCAAATCGAGAGGCTGCTGAGACAGGGTTGTGGCTGAGTGTGTGCTCGAGTGTGTGCTCTGTGCTGCCTGTTTGCATACACGCGTGGTCTTCTGCTCCTGGAAGGTTTTCTCCCTTTGCGCTCTTCCTTTGTTTGTGTCCTTCCCCTGAAATCTGCTCTTGCAGGGTTTTCTCCTTTTGGTCACCTACACTGGCTTCTTTCCTCCATAGTCTGAGCATCAGTCCTTCACTCTGTGCTGCTGTGGTCATAGTTTGGATTTCCTGAAGCATGAGGTTGTGACTCATTGTACATGCAAAATCTTACAGCTATATCTTCCATTATATGGTGGGTTTATCCAGGGCAGAAAGGATGTCTGTTCTAGTTACTTGTCTCCAGGAAATAACTAGGGGCTCAATTAATAGCTAATGCATAAAAATGGCAAGTTGTTTTGCAAATACAAAAGTTTATCTATCTATCTATCTATCTATCTATCTATCTATCTATCTATATCAGATATACATACTCATATCCTATATATTACAAATACATATATTTGCATAAATGGAAAACATTCACATAGGGCATATATATATATATATATATATATATATATATAAAATGCACTTTGAGTGCACATGATATTAAATGTAAAAAGGAGATAGTTTACTTAATTTAGTTCAGCAGAATTTGTTGGAGCACTTTGTAAAACAGGAGGTTAGCAGTGGTGGAATCCAGTCTCTCACTGTGCTCACAGATTGATAGGTCAGGCTTGCTGGCTGTGATATAGTTCATTCTTCAGAGTTTGTTAGCTGTGTAGACAGAGCAACAAGTAAAATAAGGCACCGAGCCAAATACTCCCTGAAATAACACATCAGCATGGTGGTTCTTAACCTTCCTCTGGGTGAGGTTAACTTAGACATTGATAAAAACAATGGACAATTTCTCCAGGAAGCGTGTACAGGGCACACCATTTGTAGGTCCACTGAGGATTATCTTTAGGAACTGTGGCACTCACAGGCCCAGCATGAGTGGCTATGGCCATGTCCTCACTGTAGTTCAGTGCCACCTCAGCTTTTGGTTCTGTGTGCCATGTACTGACCCCTCAAGAACCGAGAGGGAAAGAAGGTTTGCTGCAGAGATGATAAACAGCAAGTGTGGTCTTGATGTGGCTGGGTCTTGGCTTATGACTTTGAAAAGTAAACTTGAGAGCATCACTGGCCATTGAAAGCAGCCGTGTTCCTCTTTCTGTTCATGAGGGTCACTCCCTGATTTGGGAGTGAGTGTGAGCAGATTTGTCACTATGGTGAAACGTGAACTCCATTTCTCCCCTTGCATCATCCATCTCCTTGGCTGGACCAACTCATGGCACATTCCTGCTTAACTACTTCATCTCTGACATGATTTAGTGCAGTGTTTTCCAAACTTTTGAAATGTCTCTGTCTTTTAAAAATAATTGAGGACCCTGAGAGTTTTGGTAACGTGAGTTACATCTATCAATATTTATCATACTAAATTGAAACAAATATTTAGAATATATCTTCATTTAAAGCTGTAACAAACCCATTTCCTGACCATGGAAGATGCTTGGAATGAAAAAAAGTAGCTTCCCTTCAAAAAATCAGGAGGAAGAGTGATATTGTTCTACTTTTCTGGAAGTTTCCTTCTAATTGGAGGACAACTAAGCTATCACACATTCTTCTATATAAAACACATGTTGATTGAAATGTGTAAAGAAAGTTTTCTGTAAATCAGTGGTATATTACAATAACTCTTGTAGCTACTTTGAAATACTTTTCTTTGATAGTACATTGAAACTCGACAAGTAGAAAATTAGTTGTAATGGGAAATCTGATACTGTATCAATGAGCTTTTCATGCTCTATTATATTAACATCTGTTAGTCTATCTTGAATTTTAAATACAATCAGTGACAGATTCAGATATGATATTTTAACACTATATATTTGTTATCTGGACAACAATGATTTACTGAATTATTTGATTCCCTAAATTCTAAACCATTTCTCTTTGCAAAAAAAAATCATTTTGTCAAAAAAATCATTTTTGTTATTGCCAAAAAAATAATTTTTATTATATTTTCATTATTATCACTATGGATACAGTCAGAAAAGTTTTTAAGTATTGGACGCTGTCATGATTACAATGCTAAATTAATTTCCAAAGTTTCATTTTATTAATGACAATGAACACAATTAGTTTATCTATCTATCTATCTATCTATCTATCTATCTATCTATCTATCTATGTACCAGGGATCAAACTCATGATCTCTTGCTTGCCAGGCAGTAGTTATTTTTAAAATGAAAGTATCAAGCATTTTAAAAAGTGACACCCAACCTCAAGATCTGAATAATCATAGTTTGTCTGTGAGTTGTTACTTCAGGTAAGAATAGCATTCTGTGAGAAAGATGCTAGTTTAGCTTGTAACTCAAACAACTGCACTTGTGCCTTTCCCTGAGACTGGCATCCCTCCTCAGGACGAGAGCAGAGGGCTTTATGACACTTTATAGTCTGTCAGTTCAAATATTACAAAGGCTTTGTTTGGCAAAATAATGACCTTTGGAGATGTCTGCATTCTAATGCCCAGAATATGACATGATTAGATTCAGATCCTGGAAAGGTGGGATCATTCTGGATTATCTATTGAGCCCAGGCTAACACATTAGTCCTTATAAGTGGAGAATGGTTTGTGACTCTATTCAAAGCATGTAAATTAAAAAAAAAAAAAGACCACAGAGGCATGAAATTGTTCTTGTTTTGTCATGCAATTGTTCTTGCTTTGTAATGGGAGAAGCAGGCCATGAGTCAACAATAAGGTCAGTTTACAAGCTGGAAAATGCAAGGTAGGGATCCTCACTGCTGCCGTGGATGGACACACCTCTACTGACACCTGGATTAAAATCGCAGGATGAGACCATGTCAGACTTCTGACTTATAGAAGTTTAAGGTAAAAAAGTATGATGTTTCAAGAAACTAGCAATTTTCAGAACAATGGTTAAAAAAAAAGAAAACCGGTGTGACCTGCACTTCCAAATCAAGATGTGGTAACATTAATAATCCCAAATTTCTACAAGGACATTCTCTTACAGCTGGCAGTGAGGAAAATGCCTGTCAGTGTGGTTGATTAATCCACTTTGATTAATCCCCACATGCCAGGGGCTTCACCAACCAGGGCTTTGCATCCTCAGGGCAAATGCCATCACAGGGAAAAAAGTCCAATGACATCTTGGTACCTTGATAACTATGATTTTGACTGCACAGATCTCCTGAAAGTGTGCCATGGGGCACCAGGTGCCGTGGACCACCTGTCAAACATACAGATCTTAGTTGTATAAACGTTTTAAAAAATTCACCCACCCTTTAGCTTGTCCCTCTTTCCCCATGACCATGTTCAAGTCCATGATTATGTCTGTCACAAGCAAAGATAAAATGAGAATCGGGGGCTCTTGGCTTTCACTTTTTAAGATTTCCTTCAGTAATAGATAAATGTAACTGCATTGCCTGAGAACTTCAAGGCAAATTGGGATTTTTAACATATCAATAGCTCTCTGTACATAAACATTTTCAGTGATTAATTTTGGTTTATCTGTGTCTAATATATCACAGAATTTATCAGTTTAAGTAAAACGAAGAAATAAAGGCATGGCCCTTCCATTTCACTCCATATTCCCATCCATTTTAATCAAAGTGATGAAAACAATGAGGTTCTCCCGTGCAGGCAAACTTATTCAGGGAGCGAGTCTAAGCCTTCCACAGTGGGATGCTGGCAGCTAGAAGTGTGCACTGTGGGACTTCAGAGATCCAAGGTGTGCATTTAAAGCATTTGAAAGTATTCTCATGAACAGATGTGTTCTTTTTGATTGATGATTGATTAGTTTTCAAAAAAAAAATGCCACTGAGCTACTTCAGTGATAGCTGGAAGTTAACTGCAAGGAAGTGGCTGGACCCTCTCTAGGAAGAGACTCCAAAAGGCACATGGCATTTTGTCAGAGCCACCCTGAAATACTGGACCCTGCAGAACAAATAGCTTCTTCATTTCTGATTTCCAAAGCAAGGACTGAATGATTTCATTGAAGAAAAATATTTAATTTGGTTTCAGTCACACACAGGGATGTATTATCTCCGTCCAAATATCAAATCCGTGCAGTTGGGGTTTCTCAGTATACACACACTGTACCACTTGCATTGTGACCCACTGTCCTGCAAGCTGGGAGGGCCATGAGCCCCAGGAAGCTGCCTGATTCCTAAGGGGTCTTGGGAAGGTGTGGAGGTGACAGCGTGGAGACAGAGACAGAGCATGTGCTGATTCCTGCCAACCAGGATTCCCAAAGAGAACGTACAAGCAAAAGGAGCCATTAATAAGCAGAGCCGAGGAATGTCAGAGGAAGGGAAGGAGAGGAGGCGTAGATGGTCTTGCTGATGTGACAGAGCGGAGGTGAGTCTGGCAAACACACGTTTGGGGGGCTCCTTTTGTGTGTGCTTGCTTTTCAAACCCTACTGCTGGGTATGACAGCCAAGCTAAATCTACAGCCCTCCTTAACATCTATGGTGCAAATGCACTCGCTCTGAGAATCGGATACAGATGTTTGGTTTTTCTTTCAAAGTTGGCACCGAGAATCACGGCAGCTGAGATCCACATGGTGCATAAATGCCAAGCACCAGCCACCAGTTGAGGCACTGGTGAGTTGGGTGCATGGCAGGCATATGTTTTCTGACTTGGTATCAGTGAAGTTCATTTGAACACAAGGAGATGCCTTCAGTTCCTCGGAGCAGAAGTAGGAGTTAGGGCCAGCAGGGAGCTAGTTCTGTGTCACCTGGGTAGAGGATAAGAGGAAGTGTGGCCCAGCTCAAGTCCCCTTGGGTTCAACTCCTAACCCTACCAGCAAGGGGAAGCTCAGAACGTGTTGCTTTTGGTCTCCCTGGTATAGGAATTGATTCAGTTTTTAAGGACGTGGTACCCACCAGCTCCTGTACACTTCACAGTTATCTTTCACAGGAGTTTTCTTCCACAGATCAAAAAGAAAAGAAAATACAAACCCAAACAATTTGTGTAAGGTCTCTAAATCAGTAATTGCTGCTGGTAAACACCGCCCTTACACCTTATATTTAACATATTTAACAATGTCTCCAAAAACCCTCTTGTCTTGGAGAAAGAATCAGTGTGGTCCAGGCAGTAGAAAGGCCCCTTCCAGCCCCAGCCTAGTTGCTCCCCAGTTTCTACCCCATCATTCCCAAGGAGCTTTGTCCTCTACCCAAACACCAGGGCGTGGCAAGCACACCAAGGTTGGGGTTACTGAGGAGCTCATAATTTATGACCTGGATTTCAGGCTCAAATCCTGATTTTTAAAGAATAGCAAGCTGATTCTACATGGCAGAGATTTTCCTGGATGTTTGCAAGAACCTCTTTCCCTTCTTTGCAAGCAGTACAAAGCCCTGTGGTTAGGCAATGTGGTGGCAATCTGACTTTGCTAATATTATGTCAGCTGAAGAGCACAATGTGGTGTTCAGAACTGGCCCTTAAACCCTGCTCCCAACCAGTCTTGCCCCAGAGTGACCTTGGATACCACTGCTCAGCCTGGGCCTCTGAGTGATTGCGTAGAACACCTTCTTCCCTGGCTTTGGCTCCAGTGCTGACTCGTCTTTACATGAAGGAGCCAGAATACTTTCTTTAAACTAAAGAGAAATGGGTCTTAAATATGGAAGAGTAGCTACTGTTAGCTTAGCAAAAATTTAAAATTTACAGTGTGTTTCTGAATGTTCTACATGATGCCATTTTGATAATAGATGCT